TAAAAGTAAGTATTTTCTCTAAAGATTTCGGTAGTTAACAAAGTTTTTAAACTTGTAGTTGTATAATTTTCTATTTTCTATTATTTATTTATTAATAAAAAATTTTAAAGTTATTAAAATATATGGAATCTATAATTTCATTCTCTAATTACATAGGTGGTGTTTTTTTTAATCTTAGATTCTTTTCAAATTTTAAAATATTTACTCTGCAATTAAGTAGGTATAATGCAATTAATAAATAGTATATATAGAATAATAGATTTGAATAAATAATTTAACTATTTATGGTATCTAACCAGTAACCATACATATTACTTCATAAATTAATTTCAGTATATTATGTATAGTAGGTATACAGATTAACAATACACTACTACGTCGTATTGTTTCCAAATAATTAATGAATAATTTAATTAATCAAATAATTAATTTACTAATTTACCATATTATGTATAATCATTACAGTACTATACATAACTATATTAAATAATGTAAAGAGTTTTTTTTTTTAATTATTTTAAAAATTTAAGTAAATAAATATAAATAAAATAAAGCTCCACTCTATTTGATTATTATTATTATACCATCATCCGAAAGTAATGATAGGTAAATCGTAGATCGTTGCTTTCAAATATTAAGACCTATATTTTTCACCAACAATATAAATATTGTATTTCTCTATTTTAGAAACTGAGCGGAGCGATGAATGTATTGATTTTATAATGATGTGTGTTTAATTTTTATTTTTTGTATCTGTATACACGATAAGTATAGTCGACATAATGCTTCGATTTTCAACTTCAGTATCTTGTTCGATGAGAAAATGAATCTAATTAGTCCCTTAGGAAAGCCAAAGTTTAAGAATCCCAATAGTTTTCCAGAGCGTCGGAAAAACCAAATAAAAATTATGGAATAACGATAAGTTTTACGCAAAATCGGTTTTCGAACAAATCGATTTTGGTTTTTGGTGTAACTCTAAAACAAATTACATGCAATTAGATACATGCAATTTTCACTGAATACTTATAATAGCATTTTCTATACACCATACAATTTTCAAATTATTTTGACTTATTTATGGATATTTTCAGTTTCCAATTTATTAGTTTTTTTTTCTATAAATGTCAGTATAAATTTATTTGTTGGGCCAAAAAGTGTAAAAATGTTAAAAATATACATAGGCACCATTTTTTCTTATAGAAAATTAAAGTTCAGATTTTGATATAATTGATCAAAATCTCGAAAATTATCAATTATTGTAATTACAATAAATTATAAAATGTTCAATTTTCATAGCTAAGGATTGAAAATTCAAAACAAAGATTCTCATAAATAGTTGTAATGTTGTAAATACTCTAACCAAAAAATCTAAAAAATATATAAACACGGTTATTTTTTACAGACAATTTAAATTCAAATTTGGGTGAAATTACATATTTAAACCAAAAATAACGATTTTAGTTGATTGTTTATAATTTAAAAATATTATTCGTGGATAAATGAAACGTTTAGAGTATATTATCATATTTTATACCCACAATGAATAAAATATACCTACTATTAGCAATATTATATACCTAGGTTGACTAACAGATCGTCTTTGCTTAGAACAGTTTATCGTATACAATGATTGTATATCATTGAATTCAAATTTAACAAATTTAACTTGTAACCTACTGTACAACAGAGTAACGTCCACTTATTCGCTTTTTTTTTCTTTTTATCTCATAATTATATTAATATTTTATTATTATTTATTTATTGTTATATAGTATATAATAATACAATAATGTCAAAATTAGTTTATAATTTATTGCATGATAACCAGGAAATGTACGACTATTATTTTTACTACATTTATATATACCAAGAGTTTAATTAATACATTTTATGCCTAAATTAAGATAATTCAAATGTTCATCTACAATTATTATTTATGATTACTTTATTATTTTTACTTACAAACACAAATGTCAGAGTATATCGTATATCGTCTGTACAAATATTATTCTATATTCTAAAAAGCTTTTATATTATTGTTGAGCAATTATTATGGTATTATAATGTCATGAGTTATGATTTGTTTCATATAAATATAAATATTATGTTACATTATACAAAAAACAATCATAAAGCTAATTATTTAAACAAAAAAAAAAATAGAAATTGAAATTGAAAATACAATTTTAACAAGTTTAAGCTGGTAAGTTAGTTAAAAAAATTAAAAATATTTATACTATATATATACATATATATATATGTATACATTATATTTAAATCTAGGTAGGTATCATAGCTTTTATCAGCCCTGGATAAAATTGATAACACTAATTTAAATGCCAAATTACAATATTTAATAGGTTTAGTATTTATCAAATTAATTGTTGTTGTATTTAAGTAAACTATAACTATAATTTATGAGTACGATATAAATTGAAACAATAACGATAATGCTAATATTAAAATATGCATAGTCGTTAACAATAGTGTCAACAAAATTAGTAATTCATTAAGATAGATATATATCATATTTTTAATTGGTGCAAGTTAATTAGCATAAAGGATCAAGGGTTGACCTGAAATAAATAATTACGAAGATAAATAAATAGACAAAGTACTTTTTATGATTACAATTTATAATTGCAAAAAACATTTGTTAGATCCATGAAAATTATAGTTTTATTTTTCTAAAGCTTAAAGTGAGTATTTTTAATTGATAACATTTTAAAATAATAAAAACATTTTTGATTTATTTTATCAAAAATAATTTTAATGGTTTTTTCTCAAACAGAAAAAAAAGTTGATATCTAAATACCATAAACGTAGATTTACCTTGAACACAATTCTAAGTATGGATTTCCACCGTAGCACTTTAAGTTTTTAAGCCCAAAACAACAGATGTATAAATCATTAAAATGCATTCTGACTTGTAAGGATAATAAAGAAAGACATAAATTCACTACTAGCAATAATATATATATATATATATATATACGTAATAGAACGAATAAAAATATACGAATAAATTTATAGATGAATTACCTTTATGTAACACCGGTGACGAAATTTCATAACATTTTATTTCTTAAGCACAACCACAAAATGTGTGTAGTTACATCCGTCCGCTCTAGTCTTCCTTCATTACACGGACATATCATTTCCACTTTCAACTGAATATAATAATATTTTACATAGGTTTTGGTGTGTTGTTTTTATCGTTACCTACTTCTAGAGTTTGTTATTTGTCCCACGGTGAACATAAACTAGATCGTGTGATCAAACAAACAACTACTGGTACACCTTTTAAAATTGAATATTTGACTATTATTAATATAAATAAATCATTCATCGTAAACTTTTTACACACATTGTTATTAATGTATGAATACATTGTATCAATCATTTCAGTTTATTATTTTTTCTAAATAAATGAGAAATTTCTGTATTTTTCTAGTGTTTAATTAATACCAAAATGCACAGTATCTAAGTTTTTGTTTTTTTTTTTTTTATAATAGTACTCAACAACATTATACACTTTAATTTATAACTTATAACCAATGTGCAAAAATGAGCAGATTTTTGTTAATCAATATTTTGCATTGTAGTCGTCAGACTACCAATAAGCCATTGGTATTTTTATCTAATAATTTATCTATGTCTGTAAATTGCAGTATATAATATAAATAGAAGCAATAAAATACGCCATATAAGTTTAAGGTTGGACACAATCCTTCCTAATTTATTACATATTATTATGTATTTATATTTTATGGGTAATCGACGTTTATCACAAACAATATAACTGACCATTATACACATGTATTGCCATTTAAGTTATGGTCATAAGTAATTACAAACTTTTGAACGTCTTATTTTCCAATTTAAAAAGTAAATTAGGACTACGTTTTAAATATTTGTATATGGTACTAAGCATAATATCATTGTATATTTAAACATTTAAAAATTTAAATCATACAAAAACATTTTTTAAATCTAATAATAGTAGGTATACATCATAATATACACAATATTGCATATTATTACATATGCATCAGAAGACGGTCGAATACTACCACGCTTTATTCTTCGAGATTTAATTGTGCTTTAAAATACAAAGCGTTAACTTTTTACCCTTTGGCATAAATGGAAACTTAAAACAATATCTATAAAACTTTGTTCGAAATAACTGGTAGATATGCTTTTAAATGTATACTGCTTCAAAGAAGAAATTATGCACATAAGCACCGCTGGCAAATATTTTTTATACTGAGAACTTGAAATAATGGCATTTCAAAATTCCGTTGCTTTTTTTAAATATAAAGATTAAGACTTTTTAAGAATAACATAATATTTTATACTAACCAAATGTGTGGTGTTTTTTTATGTATAAGTGTAGAAACATAGAATTTAAAACATCAATATTCTACACAATTGTATTCGCAATTATTCCGTTCTAAATTAATCAAATATCTACAACCTATCTTAAAATAATATTATGAAATATTATGTCTAGGTTTATCAATCTTTAATACTACAATAGAAATAGTTTATATTGTTTAGACTTGGAGTGGTTTTTTTTTTTAATCATTGACCGCAGGCCAAACGGTTGTCATGATAGAATTGAGAGACAACCATACACGTAAATACCCATAGGCGAGTCTAAAACAATTTCACAGATCTGGTCGAGATTACATTTTTGGGAAGTTGTCCGTTTAAAATCACTACTCGCACTATATAAACAAAAAATCTAAAAATTAGTTTTGTGACGATTTAAATTTTCTGCTCTGGCGCATTAGAAAAGTGGCTGGCCGTGTAAACACGGTTATGGTAAATATAAATGATAATATTATGATCGTAAGAAGTAGACGAGCACGTCAAGTTTGGTTTAACATATTACATTTAGTTACAAAAAAACAAGTGCGTGTCATATTATTATTATCGTTTATATTGTGTTAACCAAGATACTCAACATTCATCAATTGCCGTATTACAAGCAAAAGTCAGCTTCGGTCTCTGGGCCGTTTCACGTTGACTCTATTTCCGTTGCTCAGCTTGATTGGCTGACTGACGAGCGCGGCGTGCACACCATCAGGCTTGCTGAACTCGACGAAAGCATAGTTGAACTTGGCCGGTCTACCGGACCGGTCGTGACCACTCATGACTCGCACGTTGACCACTTCACCGAACTCTGAAAACTTTATCCTCAGCTGCTCGGACGTGGTGGAGCTCGACAGGTGACCGATAAACAGTCGACGGTCTCTCGACGACGGACATGCGCCGACGTCGCTGTCGGTCTTGGTCGCGCGGCCATCCGCAGCCGGTGCAGGCGGCCGAGCGGTGAACGCTGGCTGGACGATGGACGCGACTACGGTGAACGTCCTGGGCGTCTTGATCTGGACCACGAACGACTGAACGAAATGTTCCGAAGTGGCCATCACCAGCAACTGGTCAGGCGCACACCTGACCGTGTTCACCGATTCGACGACCACCAGCCTGCGGTCGTGGCCCTTCTCCGTCGTGCTCTCGAGCAACCCGCGCACCTGCGGCAAGCCCGTGACCACGACCCGCAAGCCGTTCGCGTTCACGTGACAGTACAGTTATTTTTTATAAAAGTTAAAATTTTAATTATAATAAACAAAAATGTCTCATTGATTACTCATTCTCGTTTATGCATAATATTTCGATATGCTCTGCTGGTCATACGGTTATCACTGATGTGATGTTGGTGGACTTAATATTAAACATTAATTAAACACGTTAATAATACTAAGTATGGTTCGAAGCTAGTATAATAGTTCTATGTAGGTATATGAAAAAGTATTCAGTTCAACTAACAGACATTACAGTCATATATTATATTAAAATAGATCCCGATTTAAAATTTAAGTGTTATAATAGTAAACAATTAGATAAATATACAATGCGGTTCAGTTAATCGATCAGTTTTTGAAGACTGAAAAAAAATGATAACATGAATATCTCACCATTGTCCCAGCCTTAATTTAAATAGCTACTATAACCGATAAAACTAAGAGAACTTATGATATAACATCCTGGCTTGTAATTTTTCGTCGTATTTAGCAAATACACTGAAATAATAAAACATATCACATAAACTATGCTAAACTTTTAGTGTTAAATTATTTTATTATAAATAAAATATATAATATTTATCTATTTATTTATTTATTTATTATTTGGGCATGATGCCCAATAGTGGCATATACAATTTAACAAAAAATATACGTTACTTTATAGACAAATTAAACTTAATAGATTTGACAACTAAAAATAAAATTATTATTTATAACGAATACAAATATGTTGAATGTTAAATACAATTTTAAATAATTATTTTTTACAAATTGATTAAATTAGGGTGCTCATTCACCAGACGCATCATCCGATCAATTGGATAGTTCTAACCATAATTAGAGATATGAAAAGGAATAACAAAGGTAAAATATGATGTAGTGAAACGAGCAGGAATCTTAAGTTAATTCGAGAAAGAAGTGAAGAGCATTAATATGTCCATATGTGTCCATATTAAGAATAAACAAAAACAAGATTGTCCAATTTTGTTTCATCTTGAGTACTTACCCTATAGTTGATGAATTATGAATCGTAGGTATCTAAATAGATGTACAATACTATTGTCTATTTGATCAATATTTGTTTCTGGCAAACTGCAATTTATATAACTGATTTATTGACATGAACAACTTTAGATATTCAAACATATTTTCAAAATAAATTACTTTACTTACTTGTGTATACTTTGTAGTCAGAAGTTTATGGTATACTCGATATTGTAATACTAATTAGACTTAATCGTATACTTAATTGGTTTTTAAAATATGTAGGTACTTAAATATTAGATAGTTAATTCTATTGCAAATGTAAGCGATGCTAGACAATGTTGGACATTAAAAAAGTCTACATTTCATCTGAAAATAACAGACAATATTTGATGATATTGATTAGTTAATTTAAAAAACAAATTAACCAGGTACGTATACAAAATATTAAATATATTTACTAAATTATAATATAAAATAATGATTTTACAAAAATCAATTGAACTTTATCTAGGTACCTAATCATTTTAGTAGATTGTAATCAAAATGACCCAACATGTAAGTTAGTACCTACACAAATATTTTAAAACTACTATAATAATAAAGATATTATTTTGTAGGTTAAAATGTTTAAGAATAGTCTATTAAATACAATATCTTTTTTTCTATTCCTTGGTTTAATATCGGCTTTTCACAGAAACATCAATTTCTATCCAACTCTCTAACGATATTTCCTTCTCATCCATTACCTACAGTAAACATTAATCTTCTCGACCTCTGTATAGAATGACCTCCTTTTTTTTATCTGACATCAATTTAATTACTTCTTGGATGATCTTCCCTTATACTCGCAAAGTGTGGTTTACGCAAGCAAACCATAATAACTTTAGCGTTGAGACTTTGCAATAGCAAATTTCGATTAAATGTTATTCTTATACTTAAATACTTCGTATTCATTTTAGGTACCGGTTGGTACGTAAATGCCTTAGAGCAGAGGTTGGACCAAAAGTGGTTTTAAAATATATTTTTAAATTTTAAAATATTTAATATTAGATTACTATAAAATAGATATAATATATTATATGCATTATGCATAGGTATGTAAAAAAAGAAAGTAAATAATATATGTATAAATATGAATATAATATTAAGATATCAGTGTAGTATTTCCTTAAGTATTTCCTGTGTAACTATATTATACATATATTACTTTTATTTGATGTCCGAATTTAGATTTATCATTGACTGTTATCCTTGATGTTTATGAGATGACGCTGTCAAACTAAGACTTTTCGCAAGACTACCTAGCTATTAACAATGTTTTAAATTAATGAGCAAAAAAAGACCATAAGTATTTAGTGGGTTGCCACAAATTTAAAAATTTTCCAAAATGAGTCACATCATGAAAGATGAAAAGTTTGGAAACTTTTACCTTAGAGTATAAACCGGTGAATCAATACATAATAGCATAAATATTTCACAACTGTATGTGATAATATTTTATGAAATATTCAGTATTAAAAATTGAATGTTAAACAGAAACAACAAAATAAAAATATTTTGGATCGCGTGTAGGTAATATAAATGGTTGTGCAATACATTGTACATTTATACAGTTACTAAGTTCTTAACAACTAACTGATTTTTATAGTAATTTATTTATTAAGTAATATTATGATTACATTGCACATTTGACAAAACCATTTTTATCGTTGTTGATTGACAATTATTCATGTTAATTCTGAATGATTAAAAGTAGTACTACCTACGTCCTACATAGTATAAACTTAAAACTAAGTTTTTATTTTTGACCTTTGTCCGTAATATTGAAGTTACAATAATAATTTCAAATTTAGACTATAAAGTATAGTATGAGAGGACCATATATTTTAATAATAGCATAAGTCATAAAATGAACTTAAGTGTCTTTATTTTAACTTCAAAATGGTTGTAATAAATTAACTACAAAATAATTAACAATATAATAATGTATAATATAATCTGATAACCAGTGGTGTAGGTAGAAATTTTTTTCTAGATAGGCCCAAAAAAACAGAAACGAATACCTAACCTCTATATATACGCACACATTAAATAAAACTATATCGATTTTAAATTAATTAATTTTTTTTTTAGTAAAATTATGAATATTATGTGTATATTAAAATATTTACCCCCCCCCCCCCCATAAAAAATCCTAGATAAAACTGTTTACGTCACTGATGATAACAAAAACCAATTTCAAATCTATTTTCTTTTAGTATTTAATGTTTGTCGTTAATTTGTTAAAATTGAATATATACTAAAAATATACTAAATACACTATATATACTATATACTATATACTAAAATTAATATATTGTACCTATTAATAATTAAAATATTACGCCTTATAATGCACTTTGAATTCTTATATTTTAATAAAATTAACAGTGAATATTCTTAATGTCTAATACATATTAATGCGAGGTAGGTACACTTATAAAATTTTATGTTACAATATTATTGCATAAATTGTACCCACTGAACTTAATATTTTTTCATCAATCATCGTCAACGACATTTATGAGTGATGAAAACTCTATTATATGTTGGTACTTAATGTAAATAGTGTTAACAAAAGTTGATTGCACAATATCCCACCCCCTCAAAAATAACCCTCAATGTTTCTTATTCAATATGGAACAAGATATGCTTACAATGATGAAATACGAGGATTTAACTTCATACGCGTATCTTTTGAGTTTTGTAACCTCATTTAAAATCCATTACTTTATGGTATGTAATAAACTTTTCTTTTTCGCATAACATGCACCGCTATTGTCATAATAATATTGTTACTATGATTATAATATACTTATATTTACATGCGGAAAACACTACATACATTTATTTTTTTTTTCATTTTCCGAATAAAATATTATAAATACTTATTTTATGTACTTTTGCACATGTATTGCATTGTTTTGAAAATGTTGTTACATTTATTACCAAGGAACCATTTAAATTAAGTAGCCTGCATGCACTACTTCACTCATCTAAACTTTAAAGAATAATAAATTACAATTTAACTTCTCATTCGAAATTTGTTTTTATGTATCGAAATACTCCGAAAAATATTCTGCTACAGAATATTAAATTTAAAATGTATGTTATCATTTAACAGAGTATAAGACTTAAAAATATAAATTACAAAAATGGACAAAATACAATTTTGTTGATAAATATTGTTACACAATGATGTTAGTCTTCTTGAAATAATAACAGTTATACTTATCGAAGACGTACAATATAAAGTAGGTAGTATTATTCATTATTTTTAATACAATGCTTATTAAAAAAATATTTTATTCTTAAGTCTTTTTTTAATGAATTATAAAATGCTGTATATTTATTAGATTCTGTTTGTAAGTCTTAATTCACACATATTTTATGCAAGAGATTAACAAATCCAGATGATAAAAGAAGACTAAACAAAGTTCATAGTCTCATAAAATGTATGACAAAAATAAAATATCATAATTCTTAAAAAAAAAATAACCAATAAACGTATCTAAAACAGAAACTATTTGATTTATTAAATTGAACAGTTTTTAAAACTATACCGTACGGTTGTATAGTTATTTATGCTCGTGCAATTAAATAATAAAACACAAATTCAATTTCTTCTTCAAAAATAATAATATTATAAATTGCAATGTTTCTTCGATTATATTTTTACCAAGTATGGAGTACTAAATAATGCTTTATACTAACTAATAAAATAGTTGATAACTGGTCAGAAAATATTTATACAGTAATTGTTTTACACTGTAATTTTATTAGATTTCAAACATATTTTTCATCGGATCTTAATT